TGTCATCAAGGCCTTTAAAAACTGCTGGTGGGGCTGGGAGTGGTGGCTCATGCCTGTAATTCCAGCACTTCGGGAGGCCAAGGCAGGTGGATTACCTGAAGTCAGGAGTTGGAGACCAGCCTGGCAAACGTGGTGAAACCCCCATCTCTACTAAAAATACAAAAAAATTAACTGGGTGTGATGGTGGGTGCCCGTAGTCCCAGCTACTCAGGAGGCTGAAGCAAGAGAATCACTTGAATCCAGGGGGTGGAGGTTGCAGTAAGCTGAGATCACGCCACTGCACTCCAGCCTGGGCAACAGAGCGAGACTCTATCTAAAATAAATAAATAAATAAATAAAAAATCAGGTTGGGCGCGGTGGCTCACGCCTGTAATCCCAGCACTTTGAGAGGCCGAGGCGGGTGGATCACGAGGTCAAGAGATCGAGACCATCCTGGTCAACATGGTGGTGAAACCCCGTCTCTACTAAAAATACAAAAAATTAGCTGGGCATGATGGCATGTGCCTGTAATCCCAGCTACTCAGGAGGCTAAGGCAGGAGAATTGCTTGAACCCCGGAGGCGGAGGTTGTGGTGAGCCGAGATCGCACCATTGCATTCCAGCCTGGGTAACAAGAGCGAAACTCCGTCTCAAAAAAAAAAAAAAAACAAAAAAAAACCACCCAAAACTGCTGGTGGGACTAGGTTTGGTGGCTCATGCCTGTAGTCCCAGCATTTTGGGCAGATCACATAAGTCCAGGAGTTTGAGGCTGCAGTGAGTTATGATGGTGCCACTGCATTCCAGCTTGGGCATGAGAGTGAGACCCTGTTTTAAAAAAAAGAATGAAAGAAAGAAACTGCTGGTGGATGAACAACAGCCTGATTCTGTTGACTTCTTTTTCCTTCATCAAGACTGACCGGAGCTCTCCCATGTCGGCTTGTAGCACAGAAGGTGGAGAGCCTGCTGTGGGGACAGGGTTTCCCAGATTATGTGGCCTCTTTTGGAAATTCTCAGGCCCAGGATGTGCTGGACTGGGTACCCATCCACTTCATCACCCAGTCATTCAACAGGAAGGTAAAGGGGAGAAGGTGTAGGCTCTACGCTAGCAGTCTCTCTCTTCTAGGTGGGGCGATGAAGGCAGCCAGGGAAGCCAGTTGTTAAGGAGGTGGGATTGCCCTGAGTGGGAGTGTGGGCTGAATCTTGGATACTGATTTTTGCCCCTTGTTAGCAACGTTGCCTCTGGCCAGGAGTTTTATGGCTTTGAGCCTCTGTTTTCATCTGTGAAATGGGAACGCTAGTCACAGTGGATTAATGGCCTCATGGGGCATTGAGGGAGTTAAGTGAGGTAACATTTATATGGCCCTGGGCATGGTACCTAGTGGTCCATAAATGGGAACCACTGTGATCCTTATCCTGTTGCTACCATCATTGTGATTGTTGGTGTCCTGCGAGCCCTCTCCAGGCATCTCGTGACACTATAGATGAATGTGAATCCTGTATCAAAGACAGCACATGGCTGTCCCACCCATTGTCCCCTGGTGTATACAGGCAGCCCACACCTGAGAGTTTTCACTGTCACAATTCCTCACAGAGTTGAATGGAAGCTGACAATCCTACAGATAGGTTCCTGGTCACATGTGATGCTTCTGCCCAACTTTTTCTTTTGTCTTAGCTGTCAGTGCGGGCCTGCCTGGGCCAGGAGGCGTGCTCTCCATTTTAGCCTATAATTGCCCAGCTTGTTCTTGTCATGGTTTCTTCAGGCCTCTCATTATCTGCTGCGGATATTTCTAGCATGGGCATAATGGGGGTAAGGACTGCTCACTGCTCTGATCCGTCTTCCCACCGAGGCCAGCAGAGACCTGGGATTACTCAGTCCCTATCATTCCACTGCGAAGTCTTGGCTCAGCAATTCCGCCAGAACCAGGCACATCGCTTCTGGCTTCTTGGCTGAGTGAAGACATCCAGTTATTACTCCCCCTCAGAAGGCAGGACACGGGTTGGCAGGAGAGGCAGCAGTGCACACATGGCACCGTCAGGGTCTGTGCTGATCCTGGGTGCTCAGAGGGCCTGCAGCAGTGGCTTTTGTACCAGCCCTGCCAGCACCCCAGGTAGAGGCAGAGCACGAGCACCTGCTGAGCTGTTTCCACTAGCTGTATGCTGCATCTTCTAAGAACAGGATATTTGAGAGGATTATTCAGCCTGCACGGTTTTTAAAGGCAGTTCCAAGCTAAGGAATTCCATCAGTGCTTTTTTGGCAGCCACCAAATTTAGCAGGCCTGTGCGGTTTTCATGTCCTGAAGAGATGTATTTTAAAACTTTTTTTAATGAAAAAATGTCAGACATACACAAAAGTAAAACTGTACCATGGAGTCCCCACGTACCCAGCCTGCAGCTTCAATAGTTCCCACATTTGCCAACTGGAGAGACAGCAAAGGCAGGAAAAAGCCCTGGAAGGCCCACTGCCCCTTGTTCCCTTGGGGCAGAGGCCTCAGAGCTGGCTCCCAAAGCAGCCAACAAAACAGGCAGCTCCTTCATGGCACCAGCAGTGTTCCTGGTGCAGATGAAGAGTTGATGTCTTTGACAACATACGGACACTTCCTGGATACCCAAATGTCACATCTTAACTGCCAGTTGATGAAATTAGGTAAATGAGAAGAAGGCACTTACATTTCTCCTCAGAGCATTTTAACATGACATGCAGTCATGTTTTATTTGCTAGTAATTATTTCTCCCCACTCTATCCCTCCCACCAGTTTCTGTCCCGACGTCTCTCCGAGGCGGGTATAAAGAGGTAGATGAAGGTACAGCGGTTACGGCCCTAAAGGTCCACAGTTGGGTATTGGCACTACCGCAGTTTCAGGTGATACTGGCCTTTTTAGAAATAGGAGGGGATGGAAAAATTACGCTTCAGCTGTTAAAAATATTTTTGGGGCATTGAGTTACTTTAAAATATGTACTTTCTCTAAGCCGTTTTTATCTGAACTTCTAGAGTCTATTCATTTTCTTGTTCAGAACATTTTGTAATATGTGAAACCTTTTGTAATTAAAACTCTGCACTGCAGATTAAGTCTGACTTGTGGTTGTGTAAGATTCGAATGGATTAACAGCATTTTGTTTTGCAGGATTCCTGCCGGCTCCCAGGGGCTTTGGTTATAGAAGTGAAGTGGACTAAATATGGATCCCTACTGAATCCACAGGCCAAAATAGTCAATGTAACTGCACATCTAATTTCATCCTCCTTTCCTGAGGTAGGCCTGACCTGATTTAAAGGCAGAGGTTAAGACAGAAGTCTAGACACAACTCAAGTGTGGTAGGTGACAGGCATTACTTTGTGAAAAAGATGACAATTGAAACCATAGGGGTTCATGAAATACTTCAGCAGTCATTCATTTACCTAGAAAGAAACACTGACGATGGTTCTATTTACATTAGCATCCTGGTTTAGATTGGATCTTTAAAATTCTCATAAAAATTATGATTGATATTCATGTGTTAATCAGACACTGATATTCATGTGTTAATCAGACACCCTGGTAAAATTGTTTCTCTCATCCAAGTTAATGTCTGGTCAGTGCTCCAGAACCTATCAGATTCATGAACTGACAGTGGTTGAGTGAGGAAGAGAATGAGAAGTGTCTCACTGTTGTCATTCTGGGAGCACACTGGAGGGTGGGCCTTGCATCTGTTTATTACAGGCCAACTCAGGAAATGAAAGGACGATTCTTATTTCCACTGCGGTTACTTTTGTGGACGTGTCTGCACCTGCAGAGGCAGGCTTCAGAGCTCCTCCAGCCATCAATGCCAGGCTGCCCTTTAACTTCTTCTTCCCATTTGTTTGATGTAAGTCATTACTTGAGGAAACTACGCCCCTCCTCTGAGGTCATCACCTTTGACAAGTGTGTACATGGGTGCTAGAAGTCCCTAGGGGACACTGCATTTTATACTTTTTGAGATAGGGTCTCACTTTGTCACTCAGGCTGGAGCACAGTGGTGTGATCGTGGCTCACTGCAGCCTTGATCTCCTGGGCTCAAACGATCCTCCAACCTCAGCCTCCTAATAGCTAGGAGGGCAAGCTAGCTACAGTGCCTGGTGCAGAGATTAAAATTAGCCAGGTGTTTTGGTGTACACCTGTACACCAAAACACCTGGCTAATTTTAATATATTTTGTAGAGACAGGGTCTCGCTGTGTTGGCCAGGCTGGTCTCAAACTCCTGGGCTTAGGTGCTCCCCCTGCTTTGGCCTCCGAAAGTGCTGGGATTACAGGTGTGAGCCACTGCACCCGGCCTTATGATACTTGTGACCTTTGAGGTTGCCTCCAAACCAGCACACTACCCTTCTCCCCTCCCTTCCTGCCTTTTTTCCTTTTGGAGATGTTACTCTGTTTGACTTTTGAATGGGGAATATGTTCAACACACAGGTCACAGATGGAACCCAAAAAGACTTTGGGGAGATGGTAAAGAGAATGAACAGACCCTGAAGCAGCAGAGGCACAGGGCATTTGGCCAATTCACTCATCCCCTGCTTTGAGTTATTTAAAAAATACTGTTTTTAATTAAGGTTTTTTTCCTTTTTAGGTTTGGTTGAAATTAGTATAGAAATAGCAAAATGTTATATAAAATCATGTGCATAGAGTACACAGCCTTATGAAGGGATTGTCCCACAATTGCCATGTTAATTACAGTGGAGTCTTGGGTCTAATTGCCATTTCTGCACCAGGCACTGTAGCTAGCTTGCTCTTTGACTGGCAGGCTGGTATGGGTGCCACAGAGGAAAGAATACAGTAGGAGGGTCCAGGGGAAAGAGAGAGTTTATTTTATACAGTAATTGTACAGTAATTGAGGGAAAACGTCAGGTGGCAGAACACGGTGGGGCCAGCTAGAGGCTGGCTGATGCAGCTGGGGCACACAGGGCAGGGGCCTGGGTACCCCTTTTGGGGAAACTGAGACAAGGGAAGCTATTTAGAACAGCTTGAAAATAAGACTTTTCTAGAGTGGGGTGGCAGCTAAAGTAGCTTCTTTTTCTTTCTTTCAGAATGCTCATATGAAAGGATACATTGGTTCTTTAACATGTGAAATTTGAAAACTGTACATTCAATGAGATTAAATTTTATGTACAACTAGCAATTGTCCAGCTTTGTTGCTCATTTTCAAGCAAGGCTAAAGTGTTCAACATGCGAAAATGTGATACATTTGATACAGTGCAGGGTGGGAATGAATGGGCAGCTCTTGGTGATACTGGACCCTCCTTTCACAAGGCCGTGTCCACCCAGAATCCATGCTGGCAAGAGGGAGGCACAGGCATCAAACAGAACCCCTCACCAAGTGGCCCAGGAAGGGCAGCTGTTCCTCTTGTGACAGCACAGGCCCATGAGGCAATGTCTTCTCTTTGGCGGGAGCTGGTCTGGGTCTAGTTCACTTCACCAAGAAGTCCATGCTGTCGCAATAGCCTGTTGAGTCTTTCAATTTCTTGTTCCTATTGCAAAAGCAGACAAACACTGGCATTTGAGTGTCGCCAGGGATGTGACAATCATTCAGTGAGCCCCAGGCACAGGGCCACAGAGATGAATGAAAGCTACACTCTGGCATTCAATCTGCTGAGGAGACTGCTACAATCAGATAGGCTCTACTAAGTAGCAGTGAGAAGACAGAGGTGGGGGACCAGGCAGAGCCCTGGGGTCCAGGGTTGGGCACAGCTTCAGGGAGGATGTGACGACTGGGCTAGCTCTGAAAGGATAGGCAGGCTCAGCCCAGGGAAGAGTGCTCCAGGCACATGAGCAGCGTTGTGCTGCAGACAGCTGCTGCAGTAGAGGCCAGCTTCCCAGATGTGTCTTTTTTTTTTTTTTTTTTTTTTTTTTGAGACAGTTTTGCTCTTATCGCCTAGGCTGGAGTGCAGTGGTGTGATCTCGGATTCAACCTCCGCCTTCTGGATTCAAGCAATTCTCCTGCCTCAGCCTCCCAAGTAGCTGGGGTTATACCCATGTGCCACCATGCCTGGATAATTTTGTATTTTTAGTAGAGATGGGGTTTCTTCATGTTCGTCAGGCTGGTCTCGAACTTCCAACTTCAGGTGATCCACCCACCTTGGCCTCCCAAAGTTCTGGGATTACAGGCATGAGGCACCATGCCCAGTCCCCCAGATGTGTCTTCTTACCTTCTCAGAGCAGCTGAACTCAAGGTGTTGAATCTTGGCAGCCAACTGTACATTCATCTGTTTTAACCGTAAGAGTTGCCGTTCTGAACGTGTCTTAACCGAGATGATAATCCCTGAAATAAAATTGGGGGTCTCGGTGATACTGGTTTCTAACTTGACCACTCAGGAAAAAAAAAAAAAATCTATATTCCTGCACTCGTATAGAGTTGAGAAGAGCGGTGACAGACATGTGAGGCAGTCACCACTTCAGGGCATCACATCTGAACTACTTTTAGTACCCAGTAACACAGTTATCTCTCTAGCTGGCATGGCCGAGAAATCCTTAAAAATAATTGCTGACAAGATGAGCATTGGGCTCCTAAACCTAGAACCTGTTCACAATCATATGGGTGCATAGCAAGCAGCAGTGTGCTCAGGTGCCACGAAGACAGGCTGGGAAATGCCCTTTCCCCGTAACAAGCATCTTCCGTAGGAACTCAAAGGCTTTTTTTCTTTCCTTTGACAGAGTCCAAAAATTTTTTTTGAGATGGGGTCTCACTCTGTCACCCAGACTGAAGTGTGGTGGCACATTCTTGGCTTACTGCAGCCTCCAAATCCTGGGCTCAAGCGATCCTTCCACCTCAGCCTCCCCAGTGGCTGGGACTACATGTGGGCACCACCACACACAACTGTTTGTATTTTGTTTTGTAGAGACAGGGTTTCACCATATTGCCCAGGCTGGTCTCGAATTCCTGGATTCAAGTGGTCCTCCTGCCTCTGCCTCCCAACGTGCTGGGATGACAGGCATGAACCACTGCACCCAACCTGTTTCGTTTTATTTGCTTTAATTGCTTGATGTAAACCTGCTCATACCAGCTCCTAAAGGGCTGAAGGGGAAGAAAGTAGGAGAGGGAGGAGAGGAGAGGGCAGAGAGGAGGCCTCCGTAACGGGAGCCACTGTGAACTCAGGCGCCCAGAGTGACTGTGCATCCAGGCCTTGGATGCATGCCTGAGCCTCGCTCTCCATCCACAGCCTGGGAGTGCAGGAGACGTACCATTGATGATCCGGGCCACCCGCCACAGCCGGAGCAGAATCAGCAGGCCAAGAGCCTCAAAGTCATGCTTCCGGAGTAGGAGGACGACGTCGAGGACGAATGAGACCACAACCACTACGGCATCCAGGATCTCAAACTTGTGGTGAAAGAACTCCAGGCGGAAGACATATAATTTAAAGATAATCTCCATCATAAAAATGGACAAGATGGTGACGCTCATGTAGTGGAACACCTGAAGGGGACAAGGAACCACAGTCAGGGAAGATCGGGCCTCTGGGAGGTCAAGCTGCCCTCGCATGCACCTGCCTGGTCACCAGCAAGAGAATTCATCTGTTGGACGACAAATCCAGATGCCACCAGATGCTGTTCTCAGTGCTGGAAACAGCTGTGAACAACGCAGATGAGGCCCCTGCTCTCTGAAGGGCAATTAGGCAATGTTGGAATTAAAACATCCTCCAGACCCTTTGGACCAGCAATTACATGACTAAGAACTTACCCTAGAAGCTGAGCTCCCATATGCACAGGGACTAAGGATATTGATTGCAGCCTTGTTTGCAGAACAAACATTTTCTTTATTGTTTGTAAGACAACAGAAATGTCCAATAAAAGGCACTCTTGAAATAAATGGTGGCACCTCCATATGGGGCCTGAGGGACACAATTGTTAAAAGACGAAGCTGGGTGTGGTGGCTCAAGCCCAGAATCCCAGTTAGGAGGTTAGGTGGGGCCTCCTGCCCAGAACCCAGTTTGAGGCCAGCCTGGGCAACATAGCAAGACCCCATTTCTAAAATAACTGAATGAATGAATGGAGGCAGATCCGTATGTTCCAATTAGGAGTGATTACCAAGGTAGATGAAAAGTGAAAAGCGTTCTGAGATCTTGACTTATAAATACTAGTCTTGGCTGGGCACAGTGGCTCATGCCTCTAATCCTAGCACTTTGGGAGGCTGACGTGGGCAGATCACTTGAAGTCAGGAGTTTGAGACTACCTTGGCCAACATGGTGAAAACTCGTCTCTAATAAAAGAAAAAAAAAAAAAAATAGAAAAAGCTGAGTGTGGTGGTGCATGCCTGTAGTCCCAACTACTTGGGAGGCTGAGGCAGGAGAATTGCTTGAACTCCGAGTAGAGGTTGCAGTAAGCCAAGATCACTGCACTCCAGCCTGGGTAACAAGTCAGACTCTGTCTCAAACAAACAAACAAACATACATACATACATACATACATACATACATACACTCGTCCTCCTTACAGGGAGGGGAGCATCATACACTCGGGTCTGTTGGTGTTGGCTGCAGGGAGGACAGTGGGGGATGGGGAGGTTGGGGATGGGTAACATGGGGAGAAATGCCAGATATAGGTGATGGGGGGATGGAGGCAGCAAACCACACTGCCATGTGTGTACCTATGCAACAATCCTGCATTATCTGCACATGTACCGCAGAACCTGAAGTACAATTAAAAAAAAAAAAACACCAGTCTTCACACTAAGGTAACCATTTCCAGACCTGGGACAGGGAAAATACAATGTGGGCAAGGACGTCTTGTGCCAGAAAGCAAGGAAGTCTTCAAAGACATCACAGAGTCATGTCAACAAGATCCAGCAGTCAGCTTGGAGAGGCTCACAGTGACAACATTTGGGACAATCTGAACATTGAAAAGAATGACTATGATTGATTGTAACACAGTGAATAAAATCACAGTGTGGCACATACACCCATGCACACACACACACACGTGGGAAAACAGGGAAGTGCTTTTTTATAGAAGATGACTGACTACTAAATGTAGAAGGAAAGACAGAATTAGAAAATCACCATTTTGCATCCCCCATTGTAGTCACTAACTCAGGCAAGGATCACCAACAGATGCCAACTGGGGAAGAGGAAATTTGCATGCTACCAAAGCAGTACTGGGCAGATGATTTACCAGTGCAACGGGAAAAGTGCCCCCGGCCAGTGGAGCAGGCCAGCATTCACTACCTAAATCAAATGACCCAACTGAGTGGGACCCCTGGCGTGGTGTGTCTCCTGAAAATGCCACATCCAGAACATTGCCCACCAATGAAGACTGCCTGCTAATCAAGCCCTGGACCTAATCGTGGTGTGCAGGAAATAAAGTAGGGGACCTCAAAATCATCAGACAAATCCAGAACATGGGACGTCCTACAAGCTGGGATCTTCCAAGAAGGAAAAAGAAAACAATGGGAGGATTTTTTTTTTTTTTTTTTTTGAGATGGAGTCTTGCTCTATCACCCAGGCTGGAATGTAGTGGTGCGATATCTCACTGCAACCTCTGCCTCCTGGGCTCGAGTGATTCTCCTGCCTCAGTCTCCTGAGTAGCTGGGACTATAGGTGTGGGCCACCACGCCCAGCTAATTTTTGTATTTTTAGTAAAGATGTGGTAAAGACCACCATCTTAGTCAGGGTGGTCTTGAACTCCTGACCTCGTGATCCACCTACCTTGACCTCCCAAAGTGCTGGGAATACAGGCATAAGCCACTGCGCCTGGTGAGGATTTTTCTAGGTTGAGAAAGTCCAGGGAGGCCGAGTGTGGAGGCTCATGCCTGTAATCCCAACACTTTGGTGGGCCAAGACAAGGGGATCACTTGAGCCTGGGAGTCCAAGGCCAGACTGGGCAACACAGGGAAACCCTGTCTATAAATAATTTAAAAATTAGGTATGGTGGTTCCTGCCTGTGGTTCTAGCTACTCAGGAGGCTGAGGCAGGAGGGTGGCTTGAACACATGAGGTCAAGTCTGCAGTGAGCTGTTTGTGCTACTGCACTCCAGCTTGGGTGACAGAGCAAGACTCTGTCTCAAGGAAAGAAAAAAAAAATTCCAAGGAGACATAACCAAATAGAATATTAGAATTCTCGATCCTAGTTTGAAAAAAAGTGCCATAGAAGACATTTTTGGGCTGGGCACAGTGGCTTGTGCCTGTAATCCCAGCACTTTGGGAGGCCAAGATGGGCAGATCACTTGAGGTCAGGCGTTCAATACCAGCCTGGCCAACATGGTAAAATCCTGTCTCTATAAAAATACAAAAATTAGTTGGGTGTGGTTGTGGGTGCCTGTAATCCCAGCTACTCTGGAGCCTGAGGCAGGAGAACTGCTTGAATGTGGGAGGTGGACATTGCAATGAGATGAGATTATGCCTCTGCACTCCAGCCTGGGTGACAGAGGAGTGAGACTGTCTCAAAACAAAAACACAAAACATTTGGGATGAGTGGATAAAAGTGCTTGTTAGGTAGGATTATTGGTCTTATTTTAGGCCTGATGATGGTCACATGGCTCTGTGGGAGAGACCTTAGTGGGCATGTTGAAGTATTTAGGAGTGAAGGGTCCTGACATCAAATGATCAGATGGAAATGTGTGTTTCTGTGGGGATGTACAGTAACAAGGCAAACACAGCAAAATGTGTCTTTGCCATTTTTCATGATAAAAAATTGAGAACAAAAGACAATGAGTATAGCAGGTATGTCAACGGATTCTATTAAAAATAGAGGAAGAAGCCGGGCGCGGTGGCTCAAGCCGGTGGATCACAAGGTCAAGAGATCGAGACCATCCTGGTCAACATGGTGAAACCCTGTCTCTACTAAAAATACAAAAAAATCAACTGGGCATGGTGGTGCGTGCCTGTAATCCCAGCTACTCAGGAGGCTGAGGCAGGAGAATTGCCTGAACCCAGGAGGCGGAGGTTGTGGTGAGCCGAGATCGCGCCATTGCACTCCAGCCTGGGTAACAAGAGCGAAACTCTGTCTCAAATAAAATAAAATAAAATAAAATAAAATAAAATAAAATAAAATAAAAATAGAGGAAGAGAGCCAAGTGCAGTGTCAGGTGCCTGTAATCCCAGCACTTTGGGAGGCAAAGGCGAGTGGACCGCTTGAGACCTGGGGCTTAAGACCCCAAGTCTCTGAGAAACATGAAAAAAATTATTTAAGAGAAAATACATGGACAGAGAAGATTCTCCTCCTTCTCTGCCACCATAGATGTCACAGGGCTGCCTTGGGGAAAGGTGCCAAGAAGAAGAAGATATAATATTTCCTTCTGCCTTTTTCACCACTTGCGAAGACATTCATTTGCATATCAATTCCATTTTGTTTTTCAAAAAATGGGCATGGTGGTGGGGAGGATGCTTTTTTTTTTTTTTTTTTTGAGACAGTTTTGCTCTTGTTGCCTAGGCTGAGTGCAGCAGTGCTATCTCAGCTAACTGCAACTCTGCCTCCTAGGTTAAAGCAATTCTCCTGCCTCAGCCACCTGAGTAGCTGGGATTACAGGCACGCGCCATTACTCTCAGCTAATATTTGTGTTTTTAGTAGAGATGGCGTTTCATCACATTGGCTAGGCTGGACTTGAACCCCTGACCTCAGGTGATCCACCTGACTTGGCCTCCCAAAATGCAGGGATTACAAGCATGAGCCACAGCGCTCGGCCCCAGAGATGCTTTTAATTCTCCTGATCTCCTCCCTTGGCACCGAGGCAGGGTGTGTCCACCACCCCTTGGGTGAACGTCTGGGATGGGCTCAGTAACTGTATCAGTGAATAAACAGCACATCCTCTGATGACCCAGCATGGGTACCATGCAGACCATCAACAGAAGACAGGAGAAATGCCCCTCCTGCCCCAGAGATGGCAGAGTGGATTCACCCCACACGCTCCAGCTCATTAGCCTAGCATTGCCCAGGATTCCAGCCATCATGTGAAACAAGGTTTCCTGCTTGTAGTAAATACTTATCCATAATCTGGAAAGGAAGATGAAAACACCTATGAAACCACTACAGACCTTGCTACTCCAAGCGGTAGGTCAGCTGCTCCGTTCTGCACCCCTTCTGTGCAGATAAACATAAGCAAAACATTCCAGTAAGACCCCAGAAAAGTTGCCAACCCCTACCTTGGTGGCATAGTGATTCTTGTCAGTCTGGATGATATTCAGCTCCAGGATGAGGTCAGCAAGCACCAGGAGGGTGTCCAGAACCACCAAGCAGATGATGATGACCTGCAGATGAGGGAAGGCACCAGAGACTGTGAGACCCACATGGAGGCCCTCCCTCTTCCCATCATTAAGAGCTGGCTTGGAAGCATGTGGGTGAAACTGCTGGGCGAAGCCATAAAGGATGGGAGACCACGGCCATAGCTCTCCAGAGCTGCCCCCCAGCCCCCACTTTCGCCCCCTGCCAGGATGGAAGCTGCGCAGGGCCAGCTCCTCTTCGGGAGAAGCCGCCAGCCTCCTTCCTGCCACCCTCCCAGCCTGCTCTGCCTCCGGGCGGTGCCCCTCTTCCCTGCCTTCCCCGAAAATCTTTGGCTCATTTTCTGACCCTTGGCCACTATTTCTGAAATACCACCTCTCAAACCAAACTGTCCATGTCTAGATGCAACAAAGAATCATTTTTTTAATTTGTATTTTTCTTACTTTTTTTTGTTGTTGTTGAGACAGTCTCACTCTGTCACCCAGGCTGGAGTACAGTGGCATGATCTTGGCTTACTGCAACTTCTGCCTCCTGGGTTCAAGCAGTTCCCATGCCTCAGCCTCCCCAGTAGCGGGGATCACAGGCACGCGCCACCACCAAAGTAAGTTTTGTATTTTTAGCAGAGACAGTGTTTCACTAAACATGTTGAGCATGTTGGCCAGGCTGGTCTCGAACTCCTGACCTCAGGTGATCCACCCACCTTGGCCTCCCAAAGTACTGGGATTACAGGCATGAGCCACCATGCCCAGCCAAGTTTGTATTTTTCTATTCCTGGGGACTGCTTTTGCTGGGGTGCTCACAGAACAGATGCTCAAATAAATAACATGGCCCCACCTCAGCAGTCCGAATCCTAGAAGGGACCTTGAGGACTGCCTACTGCAGCCCATTCGACCACAGGGACAGCTGCTGTGCTCACAAACCAGCTTCTGCCCAGAGATGTAAGAAGCCTGCCCCAGCTCATGTGTGCTCACAGCGGGTGAAGAGGGTGAAGGGGAGAGGAGACCTGGGTGTCCTGGAGAATTGAGGAGAGCTGCTATGGGAAAGACGAGCCTCTTGGGCTTTGTGATGGGCTGACAGAGAACTGATGATGGCTATGGGAAGCAGCTGGCGGTGATGGCAGTCACAGCGACAGCTGGTGATGATGTTGGCAAGGGCACTGATAGCAGGGTGGAGGTGATCAGCATTGGGGATACCACAGTGGCAGTGGAAATTCAGCAGTGGGAGGAGCCCCAAAGGACCTCGCGTGACCCCTCTCTTCCCTTGGAAATTCCATATCCTCACTGTCCTCCCTCTGGGTTTAGCCTCTCACGCTCTCAGATCAATAGATTCTGGCCTCTGAAAATTAATATGCCATTCTTTTGGTAGTTTCTGCAGTTTCAGGTTAAAATTAAACAAGTTCAGGTCTCTGCAAGAACAGACTATTAATCCTTTCATCCTTTCAGCCTGTAGGTAATTATTTCAGTAATTAAAGTATTTGATGATGTGGTTTATTGTGAAAATTGCATGGCACATTGCTTTGTAATGAAGTTTTCACACATATCCAAATTCGGCAAGCTTAATAAAGGTGCAAGTCTCTAGTGGGGCTTTTGTTGTTTTTCCTAGGATTTATTTCGGAACTAAAGGGATCTGAGAGCTCATGTGATGTAAAACCAAGCCACAGAGCTACAAGGGACAGACCTGATATTCAGCCATGAAAAGGATGAGGTTCTGACCCATGCTACTATGAAATTGTCATACTTAGTGAAAGAAGGCAGACAGAAAAGATCACACATTATATGATCGCATCTATATGCAATGTCCAGAAATGGTGAATCCAGAGAGACAGAATGTAGGTTCATGGTGGCCTAGGGCTGGGGGAGGGGGAATGGGGAATGGCTGTGTGACTGCTAATGGTACCAAGTTTTCATTTGAAAACGCTGTGGGAGGCCCGGCGCGGTGGCTCAAGCCTGTAATCCCAGCACTTTGGGAGGCCGAGGCGGGTGGATCACGAGGTCGAGAGATCGAGACCATCCTGGTCAACATGGTGAAACCCCGTCTCTACTAAAAATACAAAAAAACTAGCTGGGCATGGTGGCGCGTGCCTGTAATCCCAGCTACTCAGGAGGCTGAGGCAGGAGAATTGCCTGAACCCGGGAGGCGGAGGTTGCGGTGAGCCGAGATCCCGCCATTGCACTCCAGCCTGGGCAACAAGAGCGAAACTCTGTCTCAAAAAAAAAAAAAAAAAAGAAAAGAAAACGCTGTGGGGCCGGGTGTGGTGTGTCACATCTGTAATCCCAGCACTTTGGGAAGCTGAGGCAGGCGAATCACCTGAGGCCAGGAGTTCAAGAGTAGCCTGGCTAATGTGGTGAAACCCCACTTCTACCAAAAATACAAATAAATTAGCCAGGTATGGTGGCACATGCCTGTAATCCCAGCTACTTGGGAGGCTGAGGCAGGAGAATCTCTTGAACCGAGGAGGTAGAGGTTGCAGTGAGCCAAGATCACGCCGTTGCACTCCAGCTTGGGCAACAAGAGCAAAACTCTGTCTTAAGAAAAAAAGAAAAAGAAAAGAAAATGCTCTGCAATTAGATAGTGGTGACTTGTACAACACTGTGAATGTATTAAATAAATGCCACGGAGTCATTCACTTAAAATTGATTGTTATGTGAATATCACCTCAATTTAAAAAAAGAAACAACACAAAAGAAAAATGAGAGACCAACCCAAGGTCACAAAACTACGATGCCCAGATACCAACCCTGGCCTCTATGAAAACTCGTCCCTGGGGCTCTGAATCTGCCAGTTCATAGGCAGTGCTGCTTCTAAGGGGAACCAGGTCACAAAGAAAAATGCTTAGAATTCAGAGAAGCTGCTTCATTCCAAATCCTCACCCTGGCAAAGACTGCAGGGTCCATGCCGTGGGGTGGCCAGTGCTGGGCTCAGCTCCCAGCTCCCTCATCTGCCTGGACCTTGGGCAAATCTCTCAATGCTGGAAGCTTCAGTGTCCTCTTGGGGAAAATAGGGTCTACCCCAGAGCGACAACGGGAGCATGACATGAGTGAAATGTGAAGAGTGTTTAGCACAGGGTTGGCCTGCAGTGCATGGGAATGAAAGCGAAGCTCCCTGACCCCCAGGACCATCTTCCCTTGGCTCGACTCTGTCCTGCCCATTCATGGCTTCCTTGGGCTCTGAATCACCCCATATTCTCTCCCTGGGTTGTGCCATCCCATGTAAGAAGGGACTGCAGTTAACTTTTAATATATTAAGCACCTTGGCCATCTCAAACCACCCAAGTAAGGGATCTCAGGACCTTCCTGCCAATCCTACCTCCAGAGACCACAACCCTGAGCCTTCCCGCCTACTCCGGTGTGGCCTTGCTGCTGCCGCCAAGTCACTCTACAAATCTGATCCCCCACTCATGCACTTAGAGCCTTCGAAGGCAGCCCATGGCCCATGGATGACCCGCCCTGGCCTCTTCTCTTGCTAAGCGGCTGCTGGCAACACCCACACCCGAGCCACGTGTATCCCTCTCAGTTCCTCCAACGCTGCAGGCCCTCGGCAACCAAAGCCCCTCTACCTGGAAGGTCCCCCCACCACCCATCCGCAGGGCTCACTCCTGCTCAGCACGCAGGTGTCACCTCCTCCAACTCCAGTCCCTGATCAGGTCCCCCCACCCCCAGGACGTCTCAGAGCCTCCCTCCTCCCCGTGGAAGGCTTCTCTGCAATTGTGATCAGCGTGTCTCAGTGATGGCTCCCGTCATTCCTGCCTCTCTGCAGCCTGCCAAATTCTCTGTAAGGGCAAAAATGTGTCTGCCGTATTTGTCCACTGTACACAGCCGGTGCTCAAGAAGTGACTGTTGGGTGGGTGGATAAACCCTTCCACTCGCTTTATGACAGGCATTTGTCTTTCTCCCCACCAGGAGTGTCTCTGGGGGTCCCGGCTCAGGGGCCAGCCCCCAGCTCTAAGCCCAGGCAGGATGGGGACATCTTGAGGGGGCGGCCCAGGACTCCCCTTGCAGCTGCAAGGAAGCTGGTTCCTTCCTTCTGCTCCTGAAATTGAGGGTTTGGGATTTCGACCCCAACAACTTAATACCACGTTTCCTTTCCCGTCACAGCCACAGAGGAGCTGGGCCTCCAGGCGCTCTGGCATGTCAGCTGGCTTGCTTCTCTGCTTTCAGCCACGCAAGAGTGGGGGAAAAAAAGACCAAACTAGTTTTTCTCTCTTTTACCCTGGAATAAAGTCAGTGATGGGAGAGACAAGGGCTGCATCTCTCTGCTTCCCGAAGGGGGACAGGCTTTAAGGAGGGACAGGTCTATTTTGGTTGGGGCCATCTGCGGCAGCATCCCCCAAATGCCTGCCTTTGAGAATTGCGTGCTTCCCTGTCATCCCCAGGCCTGTGCCCTCCCAGGACTTGAATGCGTTTCCAGGCACTCAGACACAGGCTCTGCCACCTTGGGGATGGGGATGGGGTCCAGAGAGGGCTGACCAGTCTCTGCCTGCGTTTGTCCTTCAAAATCAGAAATGTCCATCTGGGTATGGTGGCTCACGCCTGTAATCACAGCATTTTGGGATGCCAGGATGGGAGGATTGCTTGAGACCAGGAATTAGAGACCAGCCTGGGGAACATAACAAGATCTCTTATAAAAAAAAAAAAAAAGCCCTTTTAAATGGCAGGCCATGGCCAGGCATGGTGGCTCTCACCTGTAATCCCAGCACTTTGGGAGGCTGAGACAAGCGGATCACTTGAGGTCAGGAGTTTAAGATCAGCCTGGTAAATATGGTGAAACTCCGTCTCTACCAAAAATACAAAAATTAGCCAGGCATGGTGGCGGGCGCCTGTAATCCCAGCTACTCGGGAGGCTGAGGCAGGAGAATCACTTAAACCCCAGAGAAAGTTCAGTTACTTTTGCTCATCTGTGAGGACTGCCCCTGCTTGGCTTTCTCCCTGTAAGCACATCTGGAGGCCAGCAGTGGGTTAGGGCCAGGACAGGCAGGTATTTTGGGCATCACTCCACAAGAGAGACCGAGGCCCCTTGTGTGATGCGTCTCCAGTGCGGCAGGGGAGCCTCTGGCACTGAGTTTCGCAGAATGAACGGGTAAGTGCTTTTTCTGTCTCCGTTATTTACCCTTTATTTACTTTTTTTGTGTGTGGTAAAATTTGCATAACGTAAAATTTACCATTTTTAAAGCTGGTGTAAAGTTCAGTGGCATTCAGTCCATTCACAAGGTTGTGCAATCATCACCACTAGAATTCCAGAACATTTTCATCACCTCAAATGGAAACATTCCCACCTGCGGCAGCCGCCAATCTGCTTCCTGTCTCTGTGGATTTGCCTGTTCTAGACATTTCGTATCAATGGAATCCTACACTCTGGCCTTTTGTCTGGCTTCTTTCCCTCAGTACCGTGTTTTCAAGTTTCATCCACACTGTGGCATGGGTCACTGCTTTGCCTTTCATGTCGGCACCATATTCCACGGTATGGACAGAACACATTTGGTTTAATACTCATCCATTGGTGGACCTTTTACTTTTGGATCATGGCTCTTTGCTCCCTGACAACTCAGAATCTGCCGACCGCATGCCCAGCATGGTACAGGGTGCCTGCACGTGCTAGGTGCTGGGAAAACACTCCTAAAATGAACGAGGCAGGGGCTGAGATGGGCTCAGCCCTGCCGCCCGCCTCACATTCCGAGAGCTCTCCAACCAGCCCTGGGCCTCCCGGACTCCGGCCCCACCTACCTGAAACCTGTGGGAGCCGAACAGTTTCCTCAACGTGCCCCTGAAGTCAAGGCGGGTCCTGGGTGCGGCGCCAGGGGCAGTGTCAGGGGCTGTAGCTCTGCCTTCCTCGCCTGAGGCTGGTGTGGGTGGCGGCTGCTCTTCCTCCTCCTCGTCCTCTTCATTCTCCCATTTCTTGTAGTTGATGTTCCAGGCCTGGTAGTCGTCCCCCACGACCGTGAAGTGCCTTAAGAAATTGCTCATCCTCTTGGCGGGAGCCACCTTGGCCCTGCGGGTGACTGCCTAGAGGGCAGGAACAGAGAGCAAGAGCTTCAGCCAGGTGGCCCTGGGGCCCTCTGGACCACTCAGAGCCCACATGGCCCAGGCCGGGCCAGGCCACTGCAGGTGAAGACGTCTCGGGTGCTCAGAGCCCCCTGTGAGCAGAGACCATGAGGTCACGGTGGTTTCTCGTGCTTTTATTTTTGGAATCCAGGGTCTCAGTGTCTATGAGGTAATAGGAAACTCTAGCCCCCAGCAGGCCTGTCACCGTGGTCTGCTTGGCAGTAACCAACGGAATCAGTACTGCAGCCTGTCCCAAAACACCCCTCCATGGGCCCATGCTTGAATACTTGAAGGGCCGCCCCAAGGTTCAGAGACCTCACAACCCAGAAACCGGAGGGGACAGTGGGCAGGGCGTGGGGAGGGGAAGCCAAAAGTAAAAGTACGCAGAGTTTCACAGAGAAGTCGCGAGATCCCCACCCCTCACGCCACACATCAGACCGGACAGGCACGTGGCAGGTGGACATTTTCCAAGTTCAGCCAGCGCTATTTCTGTGGACAGCAGTTTAAAGCAAAAGCAAATATCCCTGTGCCCTCTATCCACTTTGCCCAACTTGCCCTACCAGGCACCAAATTTTACATACATTTAAATAATTAATATGCATAGGTATGAGTGCAAAAGCAGGCTACATGACTCCTGGAGCAGGAAAAGAGAGCCCAGTGTCCTTGTAGGAGGCTTGAGGAGAGGGGGTGGCAGTCCAGACCCATGGGAAAGAAAGGCTGGAGAGGCTGCAGAGTCTGGCTTTCTCAATAGGAAAAAAAAAAATCCAATCTCCACCTTGTCCCACACAGAATACATTTCAGATGCACTAACATTAATGTGTAAAGTGTATTAAAAAAGGAACAACTTAAAAAGTCTTAGAACAAAATATAGGCAAGTAACTTCATGAGCTTAGGATAGGGAAAGATTGCTTAAATAACAAAAAAATACCACAAAATAGGCTGGGCACGGTGGCTCACACCTGTAATCCCAGCACTCATCCCACGGGCTAAGGCAGGTGGATTGCTTGAGGTCAGGAGTTTGAGACCAGCCTGGCCAACATGGTGAGATCACATCTCTACAAAAAATATAAAAATTAGCGCCAGGCGCGGTGGCTCAAGCCTGTAATCCCAGCACTTTGGGAGGCCGAGGCGGGTGGATCACGAGGTCGAGAGATCGAGACCAACCTGGTCAACACGATGAAACCCCGTCTCTACTAAAAATACAAAAAATCAGCTGGGCATGGTGGCGCGTGCCTATAATCCCAGCTACTCAGGAGGCTGAGGCAGGAGAATTGCCTGAACCCAGGAGGCGGAGGTTGCGGTGAGCCGAGATCGCACCATTGCACTCCAGCCTGGGTAACAAGAGTGAAACTCCGTCTCAAAAAAAAAAAAAAATTAGCTGGGCATGATGGCACATGCCTGTAATCCCAACTACTCAGGAGGCTGAGGCCCCAGAATCGTTTGAAGCTGGGAGGTGGAGGTTGCAGTGAGCCAAGATCATGCCATTGCACTCCAGCCTGGGCAACAGAGACCGCCCCCCCCCACCAAAAATGAACAACACAAAAACAAACACAAAATAGATTTGACTGCATCAAAACTAAAAGCTTTACTATGACACACACACACACACACAAAGTTAGAGGACACACCACAGACTGGGATATTTGTGATCTATTTGATAGACAAAGACTTAGTATCCAGCATATACAAAGAAATCTTATACATCAAAAAGAGTAAGAAAAACTCCATGGAAAACTGGGCAGTGGCTAGCAACAGGCAGCTTGTGTAAGAGAAAACCCAGACTAGCCTAGATGCTCATCCCCACTAATACTCAGAAAAATGCAGCGTCAAGTAATAACCACACAACTTTTCACTCCTCAGGTTGGCAAGAGTCTTAAAGTCTACAACATCAAATATTGCAGAGCACAGGAAGCAGTGGGGTCTCTCGAACACTGAAGATAGATATAGGTACCAGCACCATCATTTTGGGAAGCGATTTGGTATGGTCTTGTCAAGCTGAAGTTGTGTGTATCCTTCTGAATCCGTCCCTACACCCAAAGAGAACTTGAGCACACGTGCTCAAACAGGTGACACGTTCCAAGAGCGTTCATGCAAATATTCACCTAGCTGGCCGAGTGTGGCTCACATCTGTAATCCCCACACTTTGGGAGGCTGAGGTGGGAGGATTTCTTGAGTCCAGGAGCTGAGACCAGCCTGGGCAACATGGCAAGACCCTGTCTCTACAAAAACAAAAAAAATTAGCCAGGCATGGTAGCACACACCTGTAGTCCCAGCTACTTGGGAGGCTGAGGCAGGAGGATTGCTTGAGCTTGGGAGGTCCAGGCTGCAGTGAGCCATGTTCTTCAGCCTGGGCAAGAGAGTGAGACTCTGTCTCAAAAAAGAAAAAAAAATAATAATTCACTTAAACGTGGGAGACAGAGAAATGAATATTCTCTGTTCATGTGATTGGACACTACACAGCTGTTAAAATGAGTTAACTGCATCTCAGTAGGTCACTGGTGATGCCTGTGAGTACCTACTTGGCAGCACTGGAACACAGCTAGACCAATCACTCCTTCCTTCAAACACTTCCTTCATTGGCTTCTGGGATGCGGCAGTCTCCTGGTTTTCCTCCTACCTCCTACCAGTGGTTGTTTCTTGCTAGTTTCTTTTTTGTTTTTGTTTCTTTTTTTTTTTTTGCCTTTTTTTTGGTTGTTGAGACAGAGTCTCACTCTGTCGCCGGGAGCCAGGCTGGAGTGCAATGGCGAGACCTCGGCTCACCGCAACCTCCGCCTCCTGGGTTCAGGCAATTCTCCTGCCTCAGCCTCCTGAGTAGCTGGGATTACAGGCACGCACCACCATGCCCAGCTAATTTTTTGTATTTTTAGTAGAGACGAGGTTTCACCATGTTGACCAGGATGGTCTCGAATCTCTTGACCTTGTGATCTGCCCGCCTCGGCCTCCCAAAGTGCTGGGATTACAGGCGTGAACCACCGCACCCGGCCTCTTGCTAGTTTCTTTTGGCCAGTGGATACCTTAGAGAAAGAGCTGACATTTAATTTTCTTTTCTTTTCTTTCTTTCTTTCCTTTTTTTTTTTTTTTTTTTTTTTAAAGAGACAGGATTTCACTCTGTCACCAGGCTAGGTGCAGGAGTGTGATCATAGCTCACTGCAGTCTTGAGTTCCTGGACTCAAGCAATCCTCCTGCCTCAATCTACCAGGTAGTTTGTACTATGGCACACTATACCATGCCTGGTAATTAAAACAATTTTTTTTTTTTTTTTTTTTTTTTTTTTAGCAATTTGGTCTTGCTATGTTGCCCAGGCTGGTCTTGAACTCCTGGGCTAAAGCAACACTCCTACCTCAGCTTCCCGAGTAGCTGGGATTACAGGTACATGACACTGTACCTGGCTTACATTTAAGTATCAAGTACAACTGTACACCCAGCACCTAGAACAGTGCCTTGCACTTAATAGACACTCAAAAATACTGAAATGTTTGTTAAGCAACAATGAGTTTCACAATGTGGGTAGCTCCTAAAAAATGTTGATTATAAAGGAAAGATATGGAAGAATATGACCAATGCCATACGACTTAAGTAAAAATGTTAAATATGTGGAAAATATTATTATATATTGTTTAAAAATGTATAAAACAGCAGTGTAAACATACACAAGAATGAGATTTCTGCTTATAGCCTTACTACACTATAGAGTAACTAGTAGCAGATTATCCCTCTTGACATGACGAATTATAAAACTGGATAAAATATGTGAAATTTACTGTGATCCCTTAGAGAAATGAATGAGGCAAATCCCACAAGCACCCTAGCTTTGTGCCTGAAGGTACTTTCCGGACTGTGAAGGCAAAGACTATGATTCAAAGCTATTGAGGCTCCCTCCCCTCAGGAATCTGCATGGCAATGTACCAGAAATAGAAAAGCTATGCAGAGGAGGAGATTAAAAAATATGGACGTCATGTATGTGAAACAAGATTTCATGAGGCAGGGAAAAATACAACTTTCAGGAAAAAAAACTCTTGAAGTGCTGCGAGCTGAACAACTACCAGAGATTACAAAGCACAGGGTTGGGAGATATGTGAGCTCCCAAAAGCCAGAGTAGAGAGACCTCACTGGACACCTAAGCATGCAGCAGAGATCCCAGAAAAATCATGCCTTATAAGCAGACCTAATCTAGCCTTACAGGAAGGACCACATTACACTCATTGCAACAAAGCTTAAGAAGCAGCCTTGACCAACCTGACCAGCATGGCAAAACCTTCGTCTTTACTAAAAATACAAAAATTAGCCAGGCGTGGTGGCAGGCACCTCTACTCCCAGCTACTTGGGAGGCTAAAGCAGGAGAATCACTTGGACCTGGCAGGCAGAGGTTGCAGTGAGCCGAGATCATGCCATTGCACTCTAGCCTGGGGGACAAGAGCAAGATTTTGTTTTAAAATAAAATAAAATAGGCTGGGCGCGGTGGCTCACGCCTGTAATCCCAGCACTTTGGGAGGCCGAGGCGGGTGGATCACGAGGTCAAGAGATCTAGACCATCCTGGTCAATATGGTGAAACCCCGTCTCTACTAAAAAAAAAAAAAAAATACAAAAAAAATTAGCGGGGCATAGTGGCGCGTGCCTGTAATCCCAGCTACTCAGGAGGCTGAGGCAGGAGAATTGCCTGAACCCAGGAGGCGGAGGTTGCGGTGAGCCGAGATCGCGCCATTGCACTCCAGCCTGGGTAACAAGAGCGAAACTCTGTCTCAAAAAATAAATAAATAAAATAAAATAAAATAAAATAAAATAAAATAAATTTTTAAAGCCTTGAAAAGAACAAGGTGATCCTTAAGTAAATTAACTGCCTGTTGGAACAAAACTTAGTACTCTGTTAGAAAGACAACACCACAAAGTCAACATCGTAGATTCATATCGTCTAGCACATGGTAAAAATTACCAGACAGATAAAGCTAAAAAATGTGGCCCA